AGCCTCAGCCCTGGCTGGTATTGAACTCGCAACCTTGTGGTCTATGATCTATCTATTAGTGTGTAGAGGGAGAGCAAGGCAGCGTGGTGTAGCGGTTTAAACGTTGGACTATGACTCTCCAGACCAGGGTTTGAACCCACGTTCGGCCCTGGAGAAGTCACACTCTCTCAGCCTGAGGATGGCGATGGCAATGGCAACCCCCCCCCAAGAAACTTGTCAAGAAACCCCAGGATAGGTTCGCCTTAAGGTCGCCATAAGCTGGAAACGACTTTAAGTCACTTCGTAACACCACCACAACGTGCGCACGCACTCCCTATTTTTTGTTACTACGTGCCTTCAAGCCATTTCCAACTTATGGCGACCCGAAGGGAAACTTATCATGGGGAAGATTCTCGGCAAGATTTCTTCAGAGGTGATTTGCCTTTGCATTTACATTTGCCTTCCCCTGAGGCTGAGAGAGTGTGACATGGCCAAGGTCTCCCAGTGGGTTTCATAGGAGGGTGGCAATAGAAACCAGCCTTTTCTGTGTGCGTTGTGGCCAGAGCCTTATCAAAGTACTCTACTTCGTCGCGTAGTGCTTACGTCACCGACATATTCCGCAGTCGCTGCTATGGCAACCGGCTTTCCAAGATGGCGTCCGCGGGCGCTTCGTAGTGACGTAGACAGCGGTCGCTGGTGACGTGCCTCTTTCCTCTGGCCCTGAGGGGGAAGAGAGGATTGCGGAAGGGAAGGTGAGTGGCAGGTTCGCCCTCCATAGCGCCTCAGAACCCCTTCTTCCGAAGGTACCCCTTCTTGCCTCCCACCATTATGAGACCCTTATATGCTTCCTCCTCCCTTCATTTTAGAGCCCCTCTGGTGAATTCCTTTAGTGCCCGGCCCTCCTTTGAACGCCCCCCGCCTTCTTTTGGCTCCCTTCCCAGGAAATATAAGGCTTTTTAGCCTCTTTGGAAAACCGACCCCTCCCTTGGCACTGTGGGGTTTATTTACGTGTTATTCGCCCTGTCAGCCCTTGACCTTGCCTCTTTACTGTCACCCGTTGTTGTTGTTATGTGCCTCCCAGTCGTTTCTGACCTATGGCGACCCTATCATGGGGTTTTCTTGGCAAGATTTCTTCAGAGGGGGTTTGCCATGGCCATCCTCTAAGGCTGAGAGAGTGTGACTCGCTCAAGGTCCTCCAATGGGTTTCATGGCCAAGCCGGGATTCGAACCCTGGTCTCCAGAGTCGCAGTCCAGTGCTCAAACCACTACGCCACACTCCCTCTCAC